TTTTTTTTTTATTTAAATAAAATTTGTGTTTGTTTCTCACAACTCATGGGTCGGTTTGACGGGCTATATTGGGCCAGGTATCAGCCCATTTGTTAGTAGGCCACTCCCTATAGAAACTATTATTTGATTTTGATAATTTTTGAACATTCTTTACTTAGCTGATAGCTGATAAGCTAGCTTATAGCTTATATGTAATTTTTGAGCTTATAGCTTATAGCTTATGACTTATAGCTGAAAAGCTAGCTTATATGATAAAAGGTATTTGGTAAATTAGCTGATAAGCTAGCTGAAATAAAAAAATTCAACTAGCTTATTTGAAAAGCTACCTAAAGTAGCTTATGAAATAAGCTCGAGCTTTTTAAAAAAGCTCGTCATACCAAACGAGACTTATTTTAAACAGGGAGCTTATAAGCTAACCAAATAAGCTAAAAGCTAGCTTATTTGGCTTACCAAACATACCCTTAAAAATCTAACTCACTTTTATCAAATTTAACTACTTTTAATATTATCAATAAAATTAAATAATATCAATTATATTCTAACACATTACATCATCAATTTTAATTCATTATTAATTACAAATTAGTCACCTCTGCAAACAAAAACAGATACTCTTACTTAACTTTAGAGCGGACCAACTATAAACGACAAAATCGTATTTTGTTTTTTATATAGAAACATGTAATAATATTGTATGGAGACAAAATCGTATTTTTAACTTCGAATTGTTACTCGGAAAATAAAAAATAAAAAATACAACTCATCGTCAGTACGTCAACACGTTTTTTACTAAAAGCGCTGGCCGCCGATTTTCATTAAGCGAAGAAGTAATTGGAGAGAGAGAGGGAGAGCCAATCTCAAATATTCATTACCTCTGCAAACGAAACAACTCAAGCTCTCTCAGAAGGCTCGCGTCCACACACACACAGCACCGATGAACGAACCCGAGCTCAATGATTTGTCCGACGACGTCGATTATGCCGCATCAATTCAACAGGTGAATCCTATTTCAAACGCACATGTTATTCACCTGATTTTGCCTGATATTAGTTCTGTTGATCTGTAATCGTTGATTGACGAGTTATGGTGGACGAAGTTGATTGTTCTTTGTTTCCTCATTGATTGTGTTTCGGTGTGGTTGTTTACTGTTTGGGAGTTCAATTAGTTTCTATATTTTTATATTGGGTTTGGTTAAAGGTATGGTTGTATCAGGGTTCTGCCAGCATAATGCGGAGTGACAGCGGGAGCCGGAACCCGTTGGAGGGCTCGGAGGTGGTGTTTACGAAGGAAGATGTGGCGATTCATCCCAGTCAGTACAAGAACGAGAGAATTAGTGGTCGGTTGATATTGACCAAGCAATGGGATTCTCTTTTCATGGTATTGCCTTTTTATTTTCATGCATGGAATGTGAGGCCTTGGGTTTTTTGTTGCCATGTTCATGAATACTAGCTCGATATTGTGCTTATGCTACGAGTTCAATTGTCATTATTGCTACAAATTTGTGGATGTCAGGTGTAAAAGGCAAAAGCCGAAAAGCTTTTTCTACAGCTAGTTTTGATGATGGAAAAATCTTGCGTATAAATCATCTGTAGATAGTTAGATAGTTGAACCTTGGCTTCTCTATAATTATATTTGCTGAATGCTCTTCCTGATCAAGTCAGAGGTGGGAAGGTGGAGAATTGCATTTATCCATTATGTATTGGTATAATGTATTATATATCATCATACTCATGAGGTACATGAGAAGCTCCTGGAAGATGAAATTGAGTTGTCTTTCCTACATAAACAGTCTGTTTGAAATTACTGTGTCCAACTGACATATTGTTTTCGATACAGACATGGATTCCCTACAAAGGCCATAATTCAAATGACAGGTTGTCTGAGGAAGGTTAGTTCTTTGCTCTTAGGTGCCGATTTTTATTTTTCTTCTTGTATCCAGGATTTCCCATGTAAATGAGATAGTTGGTAATGTTTCCTCTGTCTTGGTGCAGATAAGAATCTCTATACTATAATGTCTGTGCCATTTGCTGATATTCATTCCATAAGTAAACACGTGCCAGCACTGGGTTGGTCATTTATTATTGTAGTTATGTCATCAGGTAATCATATTACGGTTTTCTTGCTTTCCACATTCCACAATACCTCAAAATCAATTGTATTCTTCTGTGCATGATCAATTGGAACTTAATAGAATTTGCATGATTTTGTTCAAATGTAATCTCATTTTAGTATCTACCGATCACCTTGCAACGTTATCTTCAACAGTTTTGTGTCGCTCGGTTGACTAGTTGTTTTATTCATGCATCTGATGAACATTATAATCAACACTAGACTTGAATAATTTTTAATTGTACTTTGAACATTGTTAGCTTTACATGCTTCGTTCTTATGATTTTTTCTGTTCTTCAGTTTCTTCTTTCATCATGATTTTTCTCATTGCTTTGACGCATCTGCTGTGTTGTCTTCAGGACTAGCTTTCCCTCCATTTTATTTCTACAGAGGAGGTGTTCGAGATTTTATCGCCACCATCAGGCAGCATGTTTCACTTGCAAAGTATGCATTTTCCAAGTGCAAGTCTTCTTTTCCTCTTAATGCGTCTGATATGTAGCAGTCCAAATGTATTTCTTATTCCTTTGTCACAGAGTATGTAAGCCATATGCATCTGAATTACTGCCAACTCTAGCAGTTTAACTCGTCACTTCCCTGTGGGTTGATTTAAGTTTTCCCCTTTGATCTCGATGAACTTTTGAAGGAGTATCCATATGCCTATCTTGGATTTGATCTTGGTGGTATAGATATGCCCAGAATCAGTCTGATTTTGGTAATTTCACAATACTGGAGTATAACTGAACCTCCAAACGTCTCCAGTTTGATAAAGCTTTGATCTTTTCAATCTTAATTCTCTGTGGTGTTAAGTTATGAATTCCTAAGCAAGATAGCAAAAATATGAAAGTAACTGTGTAAACGAAAATAAAAAAGCGAATGTAGTTAAAATGCATTCTGTTTATTTCAAATCCGTAATATGTATTTGATAATTATGCTTGTTATGGATATTGCTGAGGCTCTGATGTAGAGTGATTATTTTAAGTGATAAATGGAATTTTACCTGTTATGCGTATTGTTGAGTCATGATCCGGAACGATTATTTAAGTGAAAAATGGAAGCGAAAATTTTGGTCAAAGTTGGGACTTTGGGCAACAAATTAACTAATGCGGACGGGTTGGGATTTTATGGGATTTGTTTGTATTTTGCATGGACAAGTAAAGATTCACTTCTGTGTGACTGATACATTAGTTGGCAAGCCTGGTTCTTAAGAATAAGTAAATTTTCTTGTGTGGTTAACAGCTATTGTATGTGAGAGTAGTCTTATTTCTATTGATTGACTTTTTTTATTAATGTTGTACACGACTTCGATATTTCCAGGTCAGCCGAAGACCCCAATGTATTTCTTGTGAACGATTTTCGGGATCCTCTGCAGGTTCGGAAAATAATTAGGTGCTCAGTTTATGTACTAATACAAATTTCACGCTGAATCTCAGATTAATGAAGTTTTATGCCAAATTCCGCCTTGTTACCTTTCCTATGCAAAGGCTGTTATCCTGTAACTAACTGATATTCTTTAACCTATTCAGCGTACACTATCTTCCTTGGAGCTTCCTCCTACTATTTCTGTAACAAATACTCATTTTCCTGTAAGTGGAGGTAATGAGTCGCACAACAGTGGTGATCTAGAGAGGGCTGCATCCCAAAACAATTCTGGTAATGTTCAGCAAAATGGCAGACAGATGCAAAAACATAACGACCCTGCTCGCGATCTTTCAATACAAGTATTGGAGAAATTTTCACTCGTTACCAGATTTGCTCGTGAAACCACCTCCCAACTTTTCCGCGAAACCAACATTGATGGATTTATTCGTAATGATGGGAGGAAGCATGATCGTAATGATGAGAGGAAGCATGATCAGTTGACTCCTCTTTTCCAACCCATCACAGCAACAAATGATTCTCCAAAAGTTCCCGATGCGGTTTCTGTCGAATCTGAACCATCTGATCCAGTAATATTCTGTTTTCTCTTCATTTACTGTTCCCATAACTTATTGCGGACTCTTGTTTGTGACTTTTTTTATTGTCCCTCAACAGAACCAGGTAATTCAAATGTTCTTATATTTTGTTCTTTGTTCTTGTAACCCTGTTTTGGAATGGTGATTTTGGAATGGGGATGGGGTTTTCCAGGGACTAAACATAATATGTAACATATCTTCGGGCTGGGAACTCCACTGAGAAACTGCTTGCTGATAAAATTTCCTTGCAAGTTTGTTTTATAAGAATATGTTCTATTTTTCTATTCCAGGAGTTTGATGTAAGGTGTAGTCACTTTTCATGTGGAAGACATGACACTTTTCACACAGAAATCATGTCATATAGGTAACTAGTTCTTGGTAAAGAAGCAAGTAACACTGTTGGACTATTTGGGTTATAAAGTTTGAGGAGGTATATTAGGACTTAGGAGCCATTTGGTTTGAGCGTTGTCTCTGGCAGGGTCTCAACTAGGCAATAAACTGATCGTTTTATCAGTGAGGTCATATAACTCGAGCTAGATGTCTTCAAATTTACTTTGAATTGAGTAGTTGCATTTCTTGCTGTAGTACTGAATTTGAGTGAAGAGGCCATCATGTACTTGGTCATGCTTGATACCAATCTGCTGCAGAGGTTTGAAGATAGAAAAGAATAAAAAATCTGGCAGAGATGAGAGATGCATATGAAACAAGGGAAGTTGGGTTGGAAGACATTCACTGTGACCATAAACAAAGCGTGATTTCTGTCATCTATAAAATAAGGAACAGCTTACATGATATAAGGAGCTGAAATGAAGGAAATCTAGGCAATTCTTGTTGAAGGAAAATGAATCATATTTATCCTAAAGAGCTAGAAATCAGATCATACTTAGATCACACATGATTTTTCCTTCTATTAATAACAATTTCACTGATTTATACTATTACTTGCTTAGCTTAATAAATCGTTCAACCTATCTTCTCATAAGCCATTACTGTCTCTGTATGTTGATTCATGTGATGTCAATTGAAGTTTGATGTATGCTGAGTGTTACTGCCATAATAAGAGCACATAGTTTAATGTAAGATGAATCCAGGTTTGCATAATTTGCTGTCAGTTAGCAACTTACGGGACCCCTGGACTTATGGTTATGTTGGAGGGCTGCATAGGTGGAGGTAGACATGGCCATGGGCCACCCGGCTCGGTCAATCCCGTTGACCACGGGTCCGGGCCCGGCTTGGATTTTAACCGGGCCGATCCAAGGTCTTGTTTTTTCGACCCTGGCCGAGTCCGTGCCAGTCCGGGAAAAACCACATATTTTGTTTTTATTTTATTTTGTTTTAATTTTTTATCTGTACGGGGTGAGGACCCGGCACGACCTAGGTCCGTGGCGGTTCCGGGTCCATGATTCCAAGCCTGTCGGCCCGTGGGCTGCGGCCGCGGCCCGTGTAATGGTGATGTCTAGGTGGAGGGCAAGCTAGAAATCTCGATGGAGGGTTCATTTGAATTCCCCGTGCTTTTTAATTTTTCCAATTTAGTATACACTATACATCTTTCGCATTCTCTATTGGAATCTATATATATAACTGCTAGCTAAACATTTAATGTTTCCTATTTAATCTTACATATGTTGCAATATAACTCTTTTCCTAAAAAACCCGTTACTTTTGATTCATTTAACATTTCATTTAATTATTAGATAGTCAACACACTAATGACTTCAAAATTACAAAATCATTTTAAACTTTTGGGGGGTGATTGGATATGAATTCAACTAGTAAAAAACTAGTTTTTTTTTTTTTTTT